AGGCTAGTAGGTGTCCCATGGCTTGCCACGTTCCAGGTGGCTTACAAAGTTGGCAGGAATAGTGCCACAGAAACGAGATCCTGTTCTCTTTGTCTACATTGTAGACCACAGTTTTGTGCTTTTAAGAAGGCAGAATCAAACAATGTCCCTCCCTTGACCCTTTGTCCTCCTGCCCATATCAGCCCAATTTCTCTCCTTCCTCTATAGCTAAACTTTCTTAACTTGCTTGCCTCCCCTTTACTTTCCAGCCCACTGCCCCATCATCCTAGCAAAGTGTTCCTGCAAACTTCATTGCTGACATCCTCATTACCAAACCAAATGAAGACTTTCCACCCTTATCTTCCTTGACCTTTCTGTAGCAATAAATACCACTACTTCCTTTTGCCTAAAATGCTTCCCTTAGCTCTTCTGTTGTTCTTCTGCTCTAATGTTTGAGAAACTTTTCTGAGTCTTCTGAATCTACCTCAATCCTCTGCCTTCCCTTGCAGAGGTAAGGGTTTCTCTAGGTTCCCACTTCCATGGCCCTATTCTCTTCTCATTCTTCTGCTTTCCTGGAAAGTAAAGATGACCTCCTTATGGTCATCTGTTTCCAATGTCCTCTAATCAGCATCTCCATTTCTGAATATTCTCTTGAGCAGGAGGTCCACAATTTAAATGCACGACAAACATGTGAGTATACAACTGAGGAAGCTACTGACAGAGGCTTCTCAAGGGCAAGGACTATTACTCACTCAGGTCTGAATCCCCAGCCATGGTAGGGCACATACTTAATGCTTAATAAACATTTTATGGATAAATGAATGAATGAATAATGGCAGAGGAATGACTGAAAGTAAGATAAAAATATGCTAAATAGAAAAATGTTGGAAAAATACATAATAATTATAACTGAGTGTATTACTTTTACATTAGTGATAATATCTAAGTGAACAAATAAAATGGTGAAGACGGACAGAATTCCAGTCCTCATAGAATGCACATTCTATTGGTAGATATGACAATGAAACAAACACTAATAACTACGCAATAGTACTAAGCAAGTAAACATGAAAAATATTAATAGAATATAGCCATAAGCGCTAGGTAGGAAATGAAACTTATGTGATAGAATGACTGTGTCACTATGTTGGTCAGGAACGTCAGGGAAGACCTCTTTAATGAGATAATGTTTAAGTGGAGAGAAGAATGACAAGAAACCAGTCAGTGAGAAGCAGGAAGAAGAGCATTAAAGGAAGAAGAAAAAGCTATTTCAAAGGCCTTAAGGTGGAAGCAAACTGCAGTGTGTTCAAAGAACATGAAGACATTAGTGTGGCCAGAATGGAATGAGCAATGGAGAGAAAAATATGAGATGGGGGTAGTGACAGATCACATCAGGCTTTGGGATCCAAAACAAGCAGATGAGATTTTATTCTAAGGGCAACGATAAGCCAAGGGAGGTTGGGCAGGGTGGCTCACACCTGTAATCCTAACACTTGGTGAGGCCAAGGCAGGCAGATCACTTGAGTTCAGGAGTTTAAGACCAGCCTTACCAACATGGAGAAACCCCATCTCTACTAAAAACACAAAAATTAGCCGGGCATGGTGGCACATGCCTGTAATCCCAGCTACTCAGGAGGCCGAGACAGGAGAATCACTTGAACCGAGGAGACAGAGGTTGCAGTGAGCTGAGATGGCGCTACTGCACTCCAGCCTGCTGAAGATTGGGAGGTCCTCGAGTTTAATTGAAAATGTAGTTTGAAACCAGATCTTGTGGGTCACAAATACCAGTTGGCAGAAGGGATCTAATTGCAGGGTTCTGAACAGAGAAGTATCATGAACACATGCACTTAATGGTGGTATGATTTTTTTCGGGGGGCTGGGGGATAGGGTCTTGCTCTGTTGCCCAGGATAACATGCAGTGGCATGATCTGGGTTCACTGAAACCTCCACCTCCCAGGCTCAAGTGATCTTCCCAGCTCAGCCTCCTGAGTAACTGGGACCACAGGCATGTACCACCGCACTCAGCTAATTTTTTTGTAGAGATAAGTTCTCACTATATTGCCCAGACTGGCCTGGAGCTCCTGGGCTCAAGCAAAACTCTTTTGTTGGCCTCCAAAAATGCTGAGATTATAGGGGTGAGAGTGGTGCGATCTTTTTTTTTTTTTTTTCTCTTCAATGAGTTAGAATCAGGGAGATTGCACTGCAAAAGAAGAGGCTATTGCAATGGTCCAGTGAGAGTTAAAGAGGGACTGGTTTGGTCTGGCATCAGTGGGAATGCAAATGGGGGAGGTGAATATGAGAGTCATGGAGGACGCAGAACTATACAACTTGTTGGTAGCAAAGCCCAGATGTTACAAGCTATTACAGCTAATACATTAGTTCCCTTATGTTTCTGGATGATGGTTGTGGTAGTGGTGTGGCACAGATATGAGTAGCCCAGCTTAGGGGTGGAAAAAGAAATACAGTGAGAAAAGAGGTTGTCTCTAAGCCAAAGAGCAAATTATGAATATAGACAGGAAGGGACCTAGGACATCAACATTTAGAATCCAAGCATATACTTAATTTAGACTACTAATTGCCATTATTTTGAGTAAACTATTAGCATTAAAAATAAAGTACCATACTTAAATTTTTAAAAAAGTCATTGGATCGGAGATGAGTTATATCTCTACAAATAGTAAGGATTTGCTCTGCATTTGACTTCATAAAGTTTCAGGTTTACTTTTCAATCAGAGAGATTAGACACCTTGAAGACAATATAACGAATGTCATTTATAAAACCACTGTGTACCTACTCTCTAGGGTTAGATCCAGGGTTTTTTCTAAGCACAGCTTTTTATGTAGTAAGTCATTTTGATTTTTGAGGATTTGATTAATAAGCTTCTACTTAAAGATCTCTGAAGATGCACATTCTAAGAGCTGGTGGCCAGCCCAGGAGAGTCTGAACTATTTTAGTTGCATTTTGAAAAACAGGTAATGAAAAGAAGAGTAAGGACTAGAAGCCACATAGCTAAGGTGGTTAAAAGGTATAAATGGAAAATAATCCAGACCTGCTCCTTAGCCCACTAAAACTTTTTGTTTTGTTTTGTTTTGTTTTGGAGACGAGTCTTGCTCTGTCACCCAGGCTGGAGTGCAGTGGCATGATCTCGGCTCACTGCCACCTCCACCTCCTGGGTTCAAGAGATTGTTCTGCCTCAGCCTCCTGAGTAGCTGGGATTACAGGCGCATGCCAACATGCCCAGCTAATTTTTGTATGTTTAGTAAAGGTGGTGTTTCACCCTGTTGGCCAGGCTGCTCTTGAACTCCTGACTTCAAGTGACCCATGCACCTCAGCCTCCCAAAGTGCTGGGATTACGGGCATGAGCCACTGCGCCCAGCCGTAGCCTGCTAAAAGTTTGACAAACATCAATGCAATTTAACTATAAGTTCCCAGTCAAGAGTTACTCCTCTGAGATCTATCTTATTGAAAACACCCCACCAGAAAAACCTTATCCTCATTTTCTCAGGTCCTAAAAGTTAATTAAAGCCACTCTCTGAACTGGAAGCAAAACTTACAGAGGGGCTTCTAAACACAAAGCACAGGAGGCAATCGAGAAAGGTTCTGATCGTGGGATCCACACGGAGGTCTGGGAACCTCCTGTGGTTGTCTCTGAAGGTTGGTGTTTATGTGGATGTTTTTGCTTTCATCTGAGAAAGACAAGTTGTAACTTTCATCAAAATCTCAAAGAACTCTATGATCCAATAATTATGTTCATACCTTTGAAATACAGAAGGATACCAAGGAGAGTAGAAGGAAGGGAGGAAGAACTGCTCATTTAAGTTAACCAATTCAGAAGTATGACATGCAAAAAGATAAGACAAAAGTAACTCATATCCTCATGTCATTGTGGTTCAAACTTAGGACAGGCTCAAACTCCTTCCTCTTCTCTTTATCATACTCTCATTCCTGTTTTCCCCAACACGGAACCCCACATTATAAGTAGTTGAAAAGTGTGCTATAGTAAAGCAAAGAAGTGGGATGAATCAGATGTATGCGGTACTTTTTTCTGGAGTCCCACAGAACGGTGCTCAAAAACAGAGAGCTGCCTGTTTCCTCCACAGCCACAGACTGCAGGATTTCAGACCCTGGGACTACGTGGGATACTCTTGGAAAGTCTGGGGAAAATTAGAAGTAGCCTAACCATGTGCATTTTATCTAGGTGCATATAACATTGCTGAGTTCAAAATGCCTAGCTATCCTTGGATCTTTCCTGAATCCTAAACCCCACCATTCCTAAGATTGTTCTTTTTCTTCTAACAATAATGGCTAACATTTACTAACACTTACTATGTGTCAGGCTCAGATCTGGATGCTTTTCAGCAAAATCTTATTTAATCCTCATGATAAAACTATAGAGTATTATTACTATATCCATTTTATAGAAGAAGAAACTGAGTCATTAACAAGATTGAGACTTAGGGCAGAAATGGAAACTATGTGTATATTCCAGATCAGTCCCAGAAGATTCATAGGCTCACAGAAAGAAATGGGAGGGATGGGGATGAGAAACTCTTCCATTGTAAGCTTGTCCCAGGGCAGTTGCCCAGTCTTCCATTTATTTCATCATTTATCCCAGACAGAAGTGCAGTCTTGGAAAATGGGGTGACAGGTTTACCATGATCTACTCTCAGAGAGCCCCTGTAGATTCCAGTAGGAGGAACAGCAGCTGCAGAGCCAGAGGACAGGACCCAGATCCCAACATCATGTAGCCTAACAGTGCAGCTTAGATAAAACAAAGCCTCTGTAAGCCACAATGACTTCATTTGTAAAATAGAAATAGCAACCTCAACTCACAAAGATGTTGGGAGGGTCAAAGTGGACAGCAAGTTTAAAAGCACTCACAAAATCTAATAGGCAATGCAACATAAAACTCCATGGCTATCGCTGTTCCTCACTTTCTGAAACTTTACCTGCCTGACTTAGTCCCAAACCACTCCAACTCACTTCAACCACTTCCCATGCAGAAAAAAAATAAACTCACCATCTCCTCTGCGACTCTGCTGGTTTTCTGCCTTCCGCCCAACCTGGACTTCTTATAATCTCACTGCCTCCCCTCAGTGTCAGGCTGTTTAGAAAAACAACTTCCTATTCACATTCCAGAAACTCACCACAGCCCTTCCCATGAAGTTAGAATGTTGATAATGCGAGGGTGATGTTGGCAGCTTAGAAACAGTGGTTGCCAAGAGGCAAAGGGGTCACCCCCTTCCATGGGAGATGGTCTGGAGACAGGGCAAGGTGAATCATTCCTGCGCTGAGCAACGTGGTAACAGTACATACCCAAAGGTTTCCTTTGATTATGATATAAGCCCCAATTTAAAGTCGTACATTTGGAAAATATGCTTTGAATTAATCATAATGTGATTTTCCAGTGCCCATTTTCCAGTTGTCGTGAAATGTCAGTGAATGTTTACTATTCCAGCAGCCTTCTGAGGGAAAGGAGCAAAAATAGTAGCACAATAAAAATTAGAGAGAAAAGGAAAAAGCCACTAACGGTTTTCTGGCACTTAGGGAAGTTTACTGGTAAGTTTCAAAATGACGTATTAAATAGACATAGGTCACATGAAAGAAATTCTGCTTCTTATAGCAGAAATAAAAAGGTATACAAATAGATACCTTTTTATTTTCCTCTTCCCATGGAATATGTAGGACCAAAGAGCTGTTGGCATAGTAGTTAAGACTTGAGCTATGCTGTTAAACAGCCTGAGACCCATCCTGGCTCTGCCTCTGGCTATCCACTGGGCAAATTACTTAAACTCTCTATGCCTCTGTTTCCTCAACTGTAAAATAGAATAACAAAATTTGTCTCACCGGGTTGTTGTAGAATCAAATGAGTTAATATGTAGAGAGTGATTGAAATGACACCTGGCCCACAATTGACGCTCAACAAATGTTAGCGATTATTACTACTTTTCAGATTAGATCTCAGACAGCAAAATCAAGTATCAGGTATTTAGTATCAAGTCAGAAAGCCATAACTCCTATTTATACTCTCAGAATTCTATTGTGTAGTAGTAGGTATTATTCTTCATTCACTTCATGATGGTTACAGCTTGTAAATAGGCATCTCATGGATAAATTTAAAATGGAATGAAGTAGAAACATTGGAAGAAAGTCTAAAGGTAAAGATGAATTAGGGCATGTGAGGCTGCATTTGCACTTTGGAATTTGGTACCAAGAAGAAGAAATTAATTATATAGTAGAAGTAGAAAAGATTGTGAAGGAGATGCTGTTGAAGGAATGACTGTAGGGGAATAAGGGAAGCTTAGAGAGATGAAAAACTGAGGAACTTCTTGGCAGCATGATGCAGTTCAGAGTCTAGACCCCAGAGTCAGACTGCCTAGCTCCACCACCTACCAGCTGTGTTGGGCGTTACTCATCTCCCTATGACTCAGTTTCCTCAGTGATGTGGTTTTGCTGTGTCCCCACCCAAATCTCATCTTGAATTGTAGCTCCCATAATTTCCACAGGTTGTGGGAGGGACCTGGTAGGAGATAATGGAATCATGGGGGTGGTTCCCTCATACTGTTCTCATGGTAATGAATAAGTCTCATGAGATCTGATGGTTTTATAAGGGGAAACCCCTTTTGTTTGGTTCTCATTTCTCTCTCTTCCCTGCTGTCATGTAAGACGTATCTTTTGCTTTCTGCCATGATTGTGAGGCCTCCCCAGCCATGTGGAACTGTGAGTCCATTAAAGCTCTTTTTTTTAAATAAATTACCCAGTCTTGGGTATGTCTTTATCAGCAGCATGAGAACAGACTAATACACTCAGCAATGTGAATAATAAGGTTAATAATTACCAAACACATAGACGTGTAAGGACAATTAAATGAATTTAAAGTGTTTGGAACAATACTTAGCATGCTGTAAGTGTAAGTTTAAGTGTTGGCTATTATTCTACAAGACTTGCCTCCATGTCTTTCTGTTCTTACTTTCATTCACCAGCCCCTCTTTTTGGCATTGCCTCATGTTAAAATATATATATATATATAGTCTCAGATGGAGATGAGGAAGGGTGGTATGTAGACTAGTAGGTTCTCTTTTTTTTTTTTTAATTTTTTTCAGACAGGGTCTCACTCTGTGTCCTTAGGCTGAAGTGCAGTGGCATGATAACTGCTTTCTGCAGCCTTGACCTCCTGGGCTCAAGCAGTTCTCCCACCTCAGCCTCCTGAGTAGCTGGGACTACAGATGTGTACCATCACTCCTGGCTAATTAAAAAAAAAATCTCTAGAGATAGGGTCTCACTATATTTCCCAGGCTGGTCTTGAATTCCTGGGCTCAAGTGATCCTTTCACCTCAGCCTCCCAAAATGTTGGAATTACAGGCATGCGCCCCCATGCCCAACCTGATAGGTTCTTGTTGATAATAAGTTTCATATTAATAAGTGCAACTGGTAATATGTTTTTAAGTTGATGTTGTTAAATTTTAGTGAATATAAAAAAAACATAAAAAGATTCCTATGGAGGTGACATTAGCAAGATAGTGGAGTAGCAGATGTCAGCCTTATGCCCCAAGAAAAAACAAATATAGACAGCTATACACAAATCAAAATAGCCCTCAAGAGGGTGGGGAGTTGCGGGGTGGGGCTCAAGAGCCTGTTAAAGAATTTGGAACAACAAAATGGAGAAAAGAAAACAATATCCATGTAGAAGAATCACTAGTGAGACTGGCCTATATGAGACACCAGGAGATATCTAGGAATAAAGAAAGTTGTAGGCTATCAGTGTCAGTCACGTGGTAAGAGCCACTGTGGCCCCCAGTGTCCTGCTCCACAGAGGACACTGGCATCTTTTGTCACTAAGGTAACCAACAGCCATCCCCACAGCAGGATGCTAGAAAGGGAGACACAGTTGCACCACCCCCCAAACCCCCTCACCAAGAAGCAGCTATTGTACTGCCCCAGGACTGGGGCCAGGGTTGCCACCTCTTGCAACTCTATGTGTTTCCCTGATCCCCAAAAGTTGTGGCTGCTCTGCAGGTATTCACACTCCGGACTGTGGCTCTGTGGCTGCAGTGCACCTACTCATGTCTCAGACACTGGAGTCATTGCTGTTGTGAACTAGATCTCACTGTGGGACCCCAAACCAAGTTCTCTCTGTGAAAGTCTTTGCTCCGGACACCAGTTCAGCCACTGTAGAAAGCTAACCCCTATTCTTGACTCCAGAGCTACTGTAGTAATGTGCACGCCTGTGCTCCAGACCCTGGCTCTGAGGCTGCACTACACACAACCACACCTCCAACACCAGAGCCACCATTACAGTGAGCTAGTACACACCCTGGGTCCCAGTCCCAGAATCAAGGTTTCTCTGTGCCTGTCCATGCTCCAGTCACCAGCTCAGCCAACAAGGAGAGCTAACCCACACCCGGGATCCTGGAGCCACTGTAGCTCTGCATATACGTGCAGTAAAGTCCCTTGCTCCTCAGTTGCTTTATATGTACCTGCACTTTACACACTATTGTCAATGTGATAGTAAGTATGCCTGTGCCTTGGGCACTGGTGCCATTGCTACCATTGAATCTGGTGCTGTGGTCCCTCCATGCATGCCCATGCTTCAGGCCTTGACTCTTGACCACTCCATGGGCACTATTCATCAGACACCAGTGCCACCACCACCATAAGCAGGCCTGCAAGTTAGACCTAGTTCCAAGAGGAATTTCTTCAGTCACAACTTCCCAGGTGGGGAAAAAAAGAGATACGGAGGACTTGTCACCACTGAAAACTTCAACAGCCTCCTTGCCACTATAGATACCCACAGTGTTGGCTTCTAAGGATCCCTGTAGTCTTCACCGACACCAACCTCAGCTGACAGATCTGCATGGAGACCACACAGCTTTGCCCCCACTGAAGTTAGAACTTTTGCATCCCACCCAGCCAGCATCCTTGCATTATCCTACATAAGATGGTATTTATCCACCAAAGTCAGCCCATACAGCCTGAAATTGCGGCAGATCCACCAGATGCTCAAACATCAGTGTAAGGCAGCAAGAAACATGAAAACCCAAATTAAAATATCACCACCTAAGAAACACAATAATTTCCCAGTAGCTGACCCAAAAGAAATGGAGTACTACAAATGGCCTGACAAGGGATTCAAAATAATTGCTTTTAAAGAAGCTCAGTGACTTTGACGCAGACACAGAGAAACAATTTGGTGAAATCAGAGAAACAATAAATGGACAGCATAAGAAATATAACAGAAAGATTAAAATGATAAAAAAAAGTTGGAGCTGAAAAATATAATGAATGAAGTGAGAAATGCAGTAGAAGTCATCAATAGCAGACTTGATCAAGCAGAAGACAGAATCTGTGAACTGAAGACAGGTTTTTGAAAATATACAGTGAGAGGAGAAAAAAAGAATGAAAAGAAATGATGAAAGCCTATAGGATTTATGGGACAGCATAAAGAGAGCTAACATTCAGCCAGGCACAGTGGCTCATGCCTATAATTCCAGCACTTCGGGAGGCCAAGGTGGGTGGATCACCTAAGGTCAGGAGTCGACACCAGCCTGACAAACATAGGTGAAACCCCATCTCTACTAAAAATACAAAAAAATTAGCCAGGGATAGTGGCACATGTCTGTAATCCCAGCTACTGGGGAGGCTGAGGCAGCAGAATCTCTTGAACCCAGGAGGCAGAGGTTTCAGTGAGCTGAGATCATGCCACTGAACTCTAGCCTGGGTGACAGAGTGAGACTCCATCTCAAAAAATAAAAATGGAAATTAAACTAAAAATTAAAAAAAAGAGAGCTAACATTCACATTACAGTAGTTTAAGAAGGAGAAAATAGAGAAAAAGGAGGTCAGAAAGCATATTTAAAGATTTCTAGATGAAAATTTCCCAAATCTGAAATAAAATATAAATATTCAGGTACAGGAAGCTTAAAAATCTCCAGTCAGGTTCAATCCAGAAAAGATCACACCAAGACATAATAATCAAACTATCAAAAATCAAAGACAAAGACAAGATCCTAAAATCAGCAAGAGAAAAGAAGCATATCACAGGCAAGAACTGCAATAAGGTTATCACAAGATTTCTCAGCAGAATCCTTCTAGGCCCAGAGAGAGTGAGATGATATATTCAAAATGTTGAAAGAGA